TATAATAATAGCAACGTCTTTGATTGTTCTCGCATTGAAGGTGACGAGTCAGCGATCTCAGAAAGACGAGTCACTGGCCAGACGTCAGGCTGGCCCCGGATATGGACTATGGATCATATTTAGGGGAAACCGGTGTAAATTGTAATAATAAATTGGCTGATTGTAATACTTATTTAACATGTAAATATTAAATAAGCTCTTTATTTTAAACCACCAAAAAAAGAAGAAGCTCGACAAATTAAAAGATGAGTGGAAAGACATTAGCGAATGTGCCGATTCTCCTTCTAAAATCGAGTTTTACATACATCAACTAACACTCCGACTATAAATACCTAGCAATATGACATTCAATATATTATTTTGCTTTATATTTTACAAATGAATGAATGAATTATTAAACAATATAATAGAAAAAACAAACCATTATGCAGCACAAAAATGAACAAATATACTGACTGTAAATTTCAATCAGTGGCATATTCTAATTCTAATAAAATTTTATTGTTGTCAAAAAACACTAAATGCAGCATTGGAACAAATTTTTTGAACGTCACCATTTTTCATAAAATGATCAAAAATAAATTAATATTATAAATGTATGTCCTTCAATGACCATAAATTTTTATCAAACAAATTGCATAACATACACAATGAAATCAAGTTTACAGCCGGTACAGTAGATTGTTTTGAAATCGGTGCCGTCCCGTAAGTGTTAATTTTGATGAAAACGGTGCACTAGAAATAGTTTTTAATAATACAATGTGACTAAAACGAATAGTCATTTTTGGCAATTTTAAATTTACGTCGGAAGTCAACGACATATTCAGAAAGGCTTTTTGGATTTTTAACGCCACTTTTTTCTGAACATTCATCATACATAAATAATAATAAAATTTAAAATACTGATTATGAGTGTAAAATGTACATAATCAAAACTATTTTCAATTATTAAATTTTTATTATTATTTTATTATTTAAATTATTATTAAATTATTAAATTATTACTATTTATATACCTAGAAACTGTTTGCTCCATTCGGGAAACAAATTCTAAAAATAAACTGAAATTCAGAATTTTTGATGATGACACATATTAAAAGTATTACAAAATGCGTTATTATAACAATTACCTCCAGTCTCCCCTAAAACGTAATAATTATTTTTATATTATGCTCCATATGTGTATCTAATTCATGTCGGTCAGACTATAAACTATGAAGATGAACTTGAGATGCACGTTTTTGCTTCGTTTGCATCGAAAGAACAACAGATGTGCATCAATCTTCTTCTATTCACGTGTGCAATTTGCAATTATAAAACATTACGTTCCTGGTACATCGCTAATTCTTAGAAAATTTCTATTAGATGGCCAAAATTGGCAGATCAAATGTAGGTTGCCACTTGATAAGATGATACAGATGCCTATATTTGGCACCAGATTTAAAATTATATTGTTTAAACAAAACGATTGTTTTGTGTTGCGACATTTGTTTGCAAAATGTTTATGAAAAATTGTGTTAATAATAAAATTAATTAACAATGAACATAATTTTTCTTTTTATATTATTTAGTTTGATGTTTCTCGACATAGTTTCGAACATCTTATGAGGTTTTTGAATTATCTGTCATAAGTCTTCAGAGATAGAAATACTGTACAATATGTGTGACATCTGTTTACAGACGTGATTCTAAAAATAACCCTTTTTCTTGGTATAAAAACTAGAAGCACTATTATTACATGTGTTTCAGAAGTGATCAACCACAATACTGTCGAATGGAAAAGGTCTGCATTTTGCAAAAAATCGATGAAAGATTTTTTTGTTACTCACAATAAATATAGAAATGACGTAATATTAAATGAATGATTAATTCAATTTTCCGAGTGCATTTTTTTCAACAAACCATCAGATAAGTACGTGTACATAATCATGTATTTCATATTACTCATTGCATTTCCTCTGCAAATTTTATCACTATTAAGTTAATTAGCAGAAATATATTTTTGTCTTACTTATCATTAAATTATTGCTTAGAAAATAATATCAACAATTCCAAAATTGCGCTACAATTTAAAATTTATCAACTAGTGGGGCGCATGGCATCGTGTCTTAAGGCAAATTGCTGGAACCAAAAATTATTTTTTTTTAAAAAGATTAACATTTTTGAAAAAAAAATTAGAATTTTGAAAAATTAGATTTTTTAGAAACTAAATTTTTGACAAAAACTTCCTTTTTTTTGAAAAAAAAAGACTTCTTGAAGAAAAGTGTATTTTGAAATATTTTGGAAATTCTGAACTTTTTTCAAAGCAATCGTACTGCTTTAACTGCATAGAGACGAAATATCGAAGCGCGTAAGCGCCGCGCCACCGTCTAACGGATAAGCATTGGTACGGAACCTATAGGAATGCAAACAAAATTTATACTTATTGCTAAAATCTCTATATAAAATATCTAATAATTTGATGTGCATATGTCTAATGATCATTTTGACCACCAGATAGCATTTATTTTTACTATTTTACTAAATCTCCGAAACCGCTAGACCTGCCTTCATTAAAATTTGATCAGTTCTTCATTGTTAATACAAGTAAAATGTTTTCTGAATTATTCAAATCGGACGCTCCGTTCTCTTAAAAAACTGAGTTACGGTTTTGGCATTTTTTGCCCCCATATCTTCGGAACGGCTTTAGAGCTTTTAGCATTATGCGCCTTCATTATGACGATCGAAGTAGTTTTATCACTTTAGTTGCAGAATTTACAATACTTCTAAACGCAAGTGTTCACCTGGTTGTTCACTAATCAAGAATTATTGTATTATAACTAGTTGGAACTATATTTTTTTTTTTATTGAACTCCCCTACATTGGCAAGCACAGCTCATAAAGACACCTTTTTCTACCTTGTTCATATCTTATACCTATTGCATCACTTTCATTTTTTCCAGGTAACCGTCCATTCCGAGAATTTTCAACGTGATTCCCATGCTGGGTATGCGGAATTCGAACAAAATGTTACATACACAAAAATTTGTTCTGCTTCCTGTTGGACTTTGCACGATCAGACAGGTGAGTCACAAATTTTGGGGCATTGACTTTGAGGGAAAAGAAGTTGCATTTTTTATAAAATTAAGTAGTTCTATTAGCAACGGTTTATTTTCTCATGATTGGAATAAATCAATTATTTATTGATGAATTATTTTTTTTATCAATAATATTATTTTGCTTCTTCAATCATGGATATGTTAATATTAATAAAGTTATAATGAGATATAATAATGTAAGCGAGAGTTTCAACCTGAGGATTCAGAATCAAGCAAAGTAAGATATTCAAAAAACAAATGTTAGCCCTTGCTGGGCCACATATTTTTAGTTTATTAACTTCGGTTGAGAGACTACATTTGCGTTTTTGACTCATAAATAGTGTTATTGATCAGTTTTTGATCGATATTTTATTTTATCATCGTAAAAACAATGATATCAAAAAATTCTGTGAATTTGAGCAATAGTTATCGAATTTATTATCAATAATGTAGAAATGCTTCTGCTAGTTTTGAAAATTCTATTGTCTATTTTGTGAATCATAAGACAAATTGAATAGGTAACCACAATACTCATTATCAGGATGAACAATTTTTGAAATAGCAAAACAAATTACGTGACTTTATAGAAGTGAATGTGAATTCTGTAATACAAATGTTTAAAGTATGTTTAGAATGCCCATAGAAAAGAAACGATTAACCATCAAGAAAATCTTATTATCACCCACTGTATGCGTGGATCTTCAAAAAATAGTTGCTTTTTTTAATATTAGCTTTATCGGCCCTATTAACGGTTTATTGACACTTCATAAATTACATTAATCATTATTAACTTCCCGTAGGGTAAGTTATTGTAATCGTCCAAAAATATCGAAATTGAAAGTTTTACATTTCTTCACGTTTTCAAGGTTTCTGAACATTTTAGCATACCTCAGAAAAAATGGATGTGTGTGTGTATGTATGCATGTATGGATACAATTTTTTGTCCACGTTTTCGGGCGCACGTATCAACCGATTTGAATGGTTCAAAAAACATTTGATTCCTATTGATAGGTACTGATTAGTTTTTGGCAAACGCAGGTCCAGTTTTTGAGAGAACTAAGCGTCCCATTTGAATGATTAAAAGAACTTTCTGCTTCGTTTAACAAAATTATTGCTTTTAGGAAAAAAAATTGTTTCAATTTTTTTTTCAATTTTTTTTTCAAAAAATATTTTTTGTATATCGAAAATAATTCAGATTTTAATTGTAATTCTGACTTAAGTTCTAATATACTTTAAACAAATATTTTCAACTTTTCAATTCAGTTTATATAATTCTTATAAATATTACAGTATTTATTTATAATAATCTATGTGAAAACATTTAATATTCCTCGAACATCTTGTTATGGTACGGGAAGTTCCAGCAATTTGACTTAAGACACGATACACACCACTAGTTAATTATTTTTATTGATATATCATTTTATTAGTCTCGTTTAAGTAGGTATCCTCATCATTTATATTTGTGAAACATGTGAGAATACATAAATTGATCAATATTGCATCAAGCTATATAGAGCAGTATTGCTACTTTAAGGCTACTTTCAAAAATGCAAACTTCTTATCTTATTATAGTTGAAAAATCAGATGGTTACACATTTGGAGAGCAAAACAATTTTAAAATTAATAATATATAAAAGATAGACTATTCTACTGTAAAAAGCTGTGAAACTTGACGACTATGCAATTTGAGAGTTCCATATCATGTCTTGCATGGAATTATATAAATTAATAAATATTTTTTCACGAATGGCGAAGTTAGGAGATTTACCACATATAGTATATGGTTTTAGTACTTTATTTAGTTTAATAGCATTTATAATTTATTATTCGGAAATTATTAGAAAATTATTTAAATATTAGACTTGGAATTAAATAATCTTTTTAAAGTGTTATCGGTGAAATAACTATTAATTGACTTACCGCTGTGTATGTGCTGGTGAAAAAGCAGAAAGTCTCAAGAACATGTTGAGGTACCGCTGGTCCTTGTCCTAATATACATTTAATATGTTCTCCTATGTATTGTCTTGATGTGACCAGAACCGTGCAAGCCATCAAAAGCATAAAAGTTACACGATAATGCAATTTGCATACTGCATTATCGATTGAAATACTTTTGTTCAGGTGCTTCGCCTGATCTTTTAGCACTTGAAATGTCATCAACATCTTGGAGAATTTTTTATTTTAGTTTTTGTATATAATTAAATTATAATATTTAAATATTATCTGTTCCTAGTACCACGAATACGTTTGTTATCTAACAACAATTTAATGTCGTCATGGTTTACGGTTTTGTTTTTGGAGACAGCTGTAAAATAATAACTTTATTACGATGTGGAATTGTTGTGATTTTTTGCATCGTACTTTTACTGTGCTTCTTTCTACTATATTTTGAGATTAGAATAAATTATAAATAAATATTTATAATTTAAAAAAATTATAAAGAAAAATTAATGTATTTATTCAATTTATATAAAATATATAAGAAATATTTTTAAAAATGTGCCATATTTTTTAATACACGATTGATTTGCTATAAGTATGTCCAATAATTTAGCAGATATTAATTTTAATAGTTGAATGAAATTTACTTATTCTTATTATTTTAATAAGTTTTAACTCGATAATTAGTTTAAATTAGACAAATATATGAATTGTGAACAGTAGGAACTATTTGTATTTTTTGTTTCTTCTTGAATATAATATTATTTCTTTTTATTCATCAATAAGTAAGCCATGATCATTAATAATAAATATTACTTCGGCATTTTGTCAAAAATGTATTTATTGAAATTTGCACATATTTTAACACGTATATTATTTTCAAACTGTATAATATATAACTAATTGTCAAAAAGTCAAGAAGAAATGTGAAAGACGGTCTATGCTTATTATCTCGAAGCCTAAATAACGTTTATATATCAAAAAATAAAACTTAATTATCAGTTTTGTGATATTTTGTAATAGTGAATTCAGTGAAATATAGACCAAAAATATAAGATAAATTAGAATTAGTAGATACTAAAACGTCTTTATTTTGTTGGTTCAAATTATTATTTTCTATAAATAAATAATGCAAGCTTTTACTGTGAACATCTTTGGTCTTTTCAAATAGCATTTATAAACTCAAGAAGAATCAAAAACCAAATATTTGACTTATATTGTGTGTAGTGATTAAATATTAGCTGCTTTTATTTTTCTATAATCAATAGAATTCAAAATGTAATTTTAACAATAAGGAACAAAACGGACTTCAATTCCTCGCTATTTTTATCCAATATGAAGAAAACGTTCTTAGTACAATAATTAATTTGTGCTCTCATTCTTTCATTTATCCATATCATTTGAATATTCTTATAACTTATAAAAAGACATCAATTTAAAATAAATGAATAAATTTGAATTTTAATTTTAATTTTTGTATAGAAAATTAAAATTTCACTAATGTTGCAATGTAAAAGCACGATGCACTTCTCAAATACGCACTAATAGAGCAATATTACTTACCGAAACAAAATATTTCCACAAAGTTATCTCTCTATGAACTAATGTTATTTTAAATCAATCCATTTATAAATATTTGCACTGTATTTAAAATCTTACACACTAAAAAACACAAAATTTAAAACATCACTACCGATTTATCAACTCGTGAAATCTGTACTGACAGGTAATTCGATATTATGCAATGTGAAACATGGACGAAAATAAACAAATTAATTTCCTCTGAACACGTGTGTGGCCCTTCGTATGTGAACCAGAAATTAACTACGATTAGAGGTGTAAATCGTTTTGACAAGTTTAAACGTCAAATCGAAGCATTGTCCTGTTATCGCGACTAGGTATTTGTTCAAACAGCGGCGAAAAACATTTATAACGTCCAATGATAAGATATGATATCTTAAATTAAGTGAATTTTGTAGAAAATAATTCGAATGGAAGAAATTTTAATTGACTTTGATAGATGTAGAGTAGAACCCCGCTAAGACGTTTCGCCGGTCCCAGATATTTAAAACAGATTGTCCTCATCCCGTAAAATGCGTTTTCTCACATAAGACGCGCTTTTTAGTTCCTGGAAAATTGTCTTACTGCGTTTTTACTATATTTTTATAACTTCGTTTTTATCTAGAGAAGAAATAAAACATCGATTATTATTTTGATATCTCTAAAGTTGCGTAAACGCTGTATTACGCTCTTTTCTTTATATAAAATAGTAGTAAAACAGTCAATATGCTATATGTTTGCTATGCAATCAGGCGTTTTACAAATAAAACCTAACTTTGCATATGTGTTATAAATGCACATCAGAAAGATGCAGTTACAATACCATTATTTTTTGACGTCCCTGCTATTTTTAGGTTAGGTTTTATATCTAAAACGCCTGATTGCACTGCAACACATAGAATTTTGTCGGTTTTTGAAGAAATGAGCATAACATAGTGTTGTCATAACAAAGATATGTTTCTGTCTATTTTACCGGAGAATTGGCCCCTTAAATACATATTTAATATAAAAAGTTTTTTTGTTGTTTTATGGTTTTTTTATTTTATTAATAATTCATTATTTTAATTTCAATTATTTCGAGTTTTATTCATGTATTTTTATTCCCGTAGGGTAAGTTAGAGTATTCGCGAAAAAATCGAAAATGAAAATTTGTATCTATCTTTACGTTCAAAGGTTTTTGAACATTTTGGCATATCTTAAAAAAAGTGATGTATGTGTGTGTATGTGTGTGTGTGTGTGCGGATACATATTTTCGTCGACGATTTCGGGAATACCGATCAACCGATTTGAATAATTAAAAAAACATTCGATTCGTATTGATAAGGAGACGTGCTGATTAGTTTTTGGCGCAGGCAGGTCTAGCCGTTCCAAAGATACAGGGCAAAAGTGCCAAAAACGGTAACTCATTTTTTTAGAGAGAAGTTTCAGCAATTTAAGGCACGATGCCATGCACTCCACTAGTTAATTTATAATTAATTTCATCTTTTTGAAACTACGTTCAATTTTTATAAACTTGATACATAAATTATGGAAAAGTTTTCTATATGAAAAACAATTGGCTTCATGACTATATTTTTTGTAAATAATTATTAATTTTATTCAAATATAGTTTATTGCACCCGGAATATTATTTTTATATCTTTTACCTTAAATCACACATTCAATTAAACATAATTTACAAAACTCATTGGTTAATTTTAAAATATTTTATAACGAACTCAAAGCTTTGCGTCGCTTTGTTATTTTCTAATCCCACTGACTAGTATATATCATTCAATCGAAGTGTTAAGTTTTTTTTTATTAATAGTCATCTAAACATTCCATCAATTGCTTTTTAATGATCGATTTTAATTCCATCAATTTATATATAGCCCAGTTGGGCGTTAGAAAGGCTTAGGACTTGGAGACTTTGAGACTGATAAATATTTTTTATCAAATTTTAGAGTATATTGTTATCATTTTAAATTTCGAATTTGACATACAGGTCTAAAATGATTAATTGGAATGGTGATGAAATGCGCGTTACATGCTACTGTAATCATTTTTATTTACAGATACAATTGTGTTCGAAATAACGTTATCTAACAGTATTGATACGTTTGTCATTACTTGTAGAATACTCTATATATATACAAGTGTATTAACACAGATACAGAAGTCAATTATTCTGTGTATAAATTTATCATCAATGCAGATTTATATAACTTTATTTATTAAAATGATGAAAAATTTCGAAAATTTGAATTTTTTAAAACTTTCTAAATTTTTGAAATTTTTATTTTTTTTTTTGAAAAAGGGCCACTCTAATGTGCATAGGCCAACAAAAACATGAATTTGTTTTAAAAAAAATATTTCGGGTTAAAATCAAGAACTTAAAGATAATAATTGTCACCATTAACTATACAACCAATTACTTTGATTGAATTTTTTTATCTAAACTTTAACTTACCGCTGTATATGTGCTGGTGAAGAAACAGAACGTTTCTAGAACTTTTTGAGGTACAGCTACACCTGGTCCTAATAAACATTTAATATGTTCTCCTACATATTGTCTTGAAGTTACCAAAATTGTGCAAACCATCAAAATGAGAAATGTTATACGATAATGCAATTTACATACAGCATTATCAATTGAAATCGGTTTGCTCAAATTTTTCACGTGATCTTTGATCACTAGAAAAGGCTTCAACATGGTAAAAATAAATTTCAAATCCTTGATATGAAACTAAATTTTAAATTTTTATATTAAAATTTGTTTTTAAATTAATTACTATTTCAGCAGAGTTTATTTCAGATTTTGTACTTATTTTACTATATTATTATAGATGTTTTTAACAACATTGCACGACATCTTTTGCTAAAATTTGACATGTTTCTGTTCGATAATCGTTCAAACTGTCACTTATAGACACAATATAATTGATGCTCACAAAAATATAATCCTTGACACATTTTTTATATTATAAATATTTATAACAAATCATTTACTTGTAGGTGCTCGAATGTGTAAATTTTAGTTCCAATTATGAACACACGTAAATATTTAGTTTTCATACCTTTATATTTAGTTTTTCTTGATTGTATTAAAGTCACTTTATATTTTCATATCAATGGAAATTATGAAAGCTTAACGCAAAATATTCATTTTCACACACTTGATTTTATTTGATTCATTTTTGAATTTTCACCTTTTTTCTGTCATTTAATTGGTCACATATTTATTTCAGAATTTTTCAATCTAATTTCCTTTAACAATTTTTAGAATTTGGTTCAATATTATTACCGGCTACATCTAATATTTGCAGATGAATACCATTGATTTATAATTATCATTAATTTATGAAGCTCATTAAGATCTTGGTCTTCATGATAAAATTCAAATTTATCAAATAAATTCTAGAATTGTCAGATCCAGATCGTTAATGATCAATTTTATCAAATCTTGATACTTTTTGCGTCATATGCAGTTGCTAATTAAATAAATTAGATTTTAAGATTGGCTGATTAGTAATTGATACCGTTTATAATACTAGGATAATTTTTATTAGGAAAAAAACCTTTTACTTTTATATCAATATATTTTAATTAAGCCCAAATCTATAACAAATTCTGAATTTTTAATAAATTATAATACTACCGTTAAAATAAATTTGTAACCTTCATTTTTTAATTATATTATATACATGTCTACATATAGTAATAAATAACGATTATCTTTGAAGCCAAGATTATCTTGATGAGTTTCACATAAACTCACTACAACTTTCGGCTTAATGAAATTTTCGGAATTTT